ATCCTCAAATTGAGAAGTCAGCCACACTGGAATCAATGGGATTTATTCCCAGTTTAAGTGAGTGTAAGTGAGATTAAGTTAGAAGCCTAAATATAAAGGGGTGGGCTGGGGGGGGTGTTACAGAATCAGCAGACACTTCTCATTTTCATGCCCTGAAACATAGAGAATGTTTTACCAATCAAGGGATGGAAATTTAGAGCGGGGGGGAGGGGAGAGAGAGAAGGCTGTTGCTGGACTGCAGTGCCCACCAGCCCTCCATCAGCATCACCCATAGCCAGGGATGATGGGAACTAAAGTTCAAAAATGTCTGGAGGGTCAGATCCCCCCTGTATTATGGGCTTCTGGGAGCTCACTCTGTGAGGCAGACTTTCTGATTATATTTGCATCTGAAAGTTATTTCAGAATAAACTTAGGAAAGCAGAAATGGAGGCCCACTTGGCAAGCCTATGCCTCATAAGGCGTTTTGATGAGAAGATGGGACCAACTGTTCCCCACTCTTTAGAAACAGGGATGTTAGGTAAAGGTTCCCCTTGACACTGAGTCCAGTTGTGTCCCACACTCTAGGGCACTGGTGCTCATCCCCGTCTCCAAGCCATAGAGCCAGCATTTCTCCAAAGACAGTTTCCATGGTCATGTGGCCAACAGGAATGTTACTGTACAGCAAAATGAAGGATCATTCCTGGCAGCAGCAGGGCCAGGTTAACATTAACCACCCTTCCTCAGTGCAGAGCAACCACCACCCATGAGCAACTAGTCGTTACCTTCTTAATGAGCAAGGTTCCAGAAAGGCTGTGTGCTCGTGCAAACAGTTTAAAATAAGAGTTGGTTTACTGCAGTAACTGTCCTGATAAAAGCTTAAGGCAAGAGCAAGTTCTGTCAGGTATCAGCATTACACACTCCCCGTCTTTCTTCTTCTCCCTGGAAGAATCATGCCAGAAACACACGCAAATGGGAGACAGGCTGCCCCAAATCATCTTTGGGTGCACGACGGTGGAACTGCCCCACAAATATGTGAAAATATCTCAAAGAGCAAATCAGCTTCTTTCTACTACAACTAAAGCTACTGGCATAAAATGTAAATATTGCTACCTGCCAAAATGGTTCTTCTGCACTGCATTCAGAGGGGAACTTGAAAATACTACCTGCTGACACCACTGTGGAGCTTAACTTTTGTCTTCAAACAAAAATATATCAAACACTTTGCTTTGGGTATGATGAGACATCAGCAACATGAAGTCAGCAATAGCTAGCAATGGCAATCTCAAGAGAACAGTCGTTTAACAATTGCTGGGAGACACGAAGGGCTACTGTAAATCTGACTATGAGTCCCAAATAGAAAAGATCGAGTGACTAAAAGTCAATCTTGTCCATTCAATTTAATCTCATCCTATGGCCTTTTCCAGAATGCTCACTCACCGAAGCAGCAGATGGAGCATGTTATATTTACTTGCACTACTCCCAACTTCTAAATCACACTGCAAATATTTTTTCTAATGTTCCTGTTTGGTTCTGGTTCTTGGTTCCTTTTATGTTTCAACTGTGAATAACTCTTTCATGTGCCTCCAAAACCAGTACTTAAATGTTAAGAAATGGGTATGTATCCTCCACTTCTTACCAAAAAAAGACAAAATCAAAACAAACTACAAATTCAATGACCAGAGGAATAGTAAAGTCAGCATCTTAGCTAACCACAAACCCTGCCTTAATAAGTATTCCAGAACTTTTAATATATTAAGGATTATGAGAAAAAAATAGTTATGCTTTAGAAAAGGAATGATTCACTGCTGGGACAGGAAACTGAAAACCAAATGAATATTATTTTTGCAAAAAACAGCTGAGTTCACCATACTGAGTTTTGAAGCTACAAGCTAAAGAGACAAAGTTTCGCGTAAGAGTTTCCTGGATAATGGAGCTAAGTCTAGTGCTGACAACACAACTATACACTCTATCTACTGAATTAAGTTATTTGTTTCAAAAAAGTAACTGATTTAATCATCTTGTGTGGAAAAAAAAAACAGAGTTCTGTGCTAACTCTTGATATAGTAGGAGCCATATGTTGCTCCCCTGAAGGATTACTTCGTATGCATTGCAGGCCAGGACTACGCAATACAAAGAACAGGGAGGTGGGATAGAAAGAGGTCACAATTTAATGGATACTAAAATCGGTTTTTTTGTTTTCAAGGCAACAGAAGAACACATTTACCTCCCGAAAAATTTGGCCATCTGTAGCTCAGAGATCAGTTCATAGCCTGCTGGCAAAATACAGATTTTCCAAATATAGGAAATATATATTTAAAATATGCCATTCAAGGCATTCAGCTTCATTATCTGGGAAGCAGAGACATTGACCACTTGAACTTGGCAATGCCAAGAACAGCCGCTTCCTCCTGCCCCTTCCCCCGAGTAGTTTTGGTGCTTGGGAAGCAAACCTTGAAGCCACTGAGTTATGGATAGGGCTGCTCAGGGTGAACTGTGCAACCCATCCCTTGCACTGTTTTTTCCACAGGGAAAGGACTTGGCTTCATTACTGCACAGAACAAGGCCTCTGAAGCACAGTTAGGAACCTTATTACGTTCACCGTCCAGCTACCAGGCCAAGAAAGACCACTTGATGCAATGTGGTAGCTACCTACATCTTGAGATACTGTTGTGGTCACCTTCTTAGGAAATGGTGCTAAACAGTCAGAACAGACATGCTGAAGGTAACGGAGGGGCATTTCCCTTATGAAAAAGGATGGGCTGGTGGGAGAGGTAACAGCAAGTTTATAGGGACAAAATAGGGAGCAGAAGAATCTCCTGCACAGAAAACAAGGCATCTCAGAGGAGCCTTCAAGTAGAAGCCACACCCACCCATCCCTGCATTCAGTCCAAATATATGGCTATCCCACCACCACCACCATGATGTAAGGTAGCAGAGTAACAATTTTATCAGGGGACTGACTGCTTTCACAGACCAGTGCATGTGGAATTTCCCTCCCCATGCACTGTTCCAAGGAGTCACTTAGGGATAGTCTCAAGTGATTTTTGTGATACAGACCACTTTCTCTCAGCTTCATATGTAAATGACGTAATTTCATCAGTGCTTTCCCCTTGAAGTTATTGTTAAAAATAGCTCAGGCATGATACACGAATGAAATGGATACATTCAATGTAGTGAGGTAATGCAATAAATCAACCGTCTTTCCTAAGGAGCATAACACAAATTAGCAGGCAGAAATGCTCTGCATTTTCTACTTGGACCCTTCTTCTCCCCTTTTCTTTCTCCTTATTCAGACCAAGCAAAATGACGCCTGTTCAAGCTCCGATTACAAAAACAAGAGAATCTTCCCTTTGGGAAACGGGGACACCTGAGATTCGGTATCTAGCGAAACAAGTCATCTTGCTGCTTTCTCCATACTTGGCATTGCATTTCACATCAAAGGGAACGAGAAAGACTCCAAAAGGATGTTTTAGATCTCGGCTCTCCAATTTGGCAAATAAGTTTCACTGCTCCACTGACCTCCATTGCTCTGAAAATGGATCAAAGTCTGCATCAACCTTTCCTAAAGGTTTAAATTTATACTTTATCTGGTCCACGTAGTATTAAAGTAACAAAGTTAATAAAAAGAGAATAATTATTTATCATAATCAACACAATAGGCACAAAGAAATTTAAAAGTATGCAATTAAAGTAAACTACAAGAATTAATAAAATACAGTTGTAAATAAGCAAGTCAGTATTCACTTTAATCTTAGGTTGTTTGAAAATGCTACTTCATGTCCGGCTGCCCAAGGCTCACAAAATCCATATTTTGCTATCAAAATTAAAAGTACCAGCAAGCCTACACCTACATGTTCTCTTGGTAGTCCTTGGAAATCCCGGAATCAGAAGGCCAAACAAGGCACTTCGAGGGCGAGGGACGGCTTCTTTTCTCTGGGCTTGGCCTTGTTCTCCACTTGCTATTTATTTATTCCCTGCATCACATATATTGTTTTCATGCTGGGCTCTGGCCCTCCCAAGTTAAGGTCCGCATACTGTGGTCAGAAGCTGGTGGTTGATATAACTAAATCTGGTACTTCCCATTGTGAGAATGCATTGGCAGATGCAGTTTCTTGAATGATTCTAAGTCTTCTCGGGAGAACTGGGTCAAATACATCTTCATATGTGAAACATACACCATCAGTGGTTACTGATGTAAACTAGCTAAATAAAACAGCCTGGTTTCAAGCAGGCTTCAGGAAATGGTATAAATAAAACACTTTTCCAGTTCTTGCAATACTATTATGTTTATCTGACTTACAACTGAAGTTAAATGCACCTGGACTTATGAATAATAATTATGTTCATGACATCTCAATTTTCTCTAAACCAGCATACTTCACATTTAATATTTTAAGCAAGTCCAGTAGAGAAAAAGATGCTTATAAAAGGAACGATAGCAAGTATGTGAGTAGGAGAAGGGCTATGGGGCAGATTATTGGCAATGACAGTTAAAAAAATTGTTGATAGGAAGGATGCTTCCACTTATTTAAAATTTAACCAATTGAAGCAAGAAAA